AACCTCTCCATCTTCATCAGCACCTCCTCTGAGCTGCAGACGCTTCCCAGCGGGGCCGTGAGGGTCCTTCTCCCGGCTGTGTGTGTCCCCAGGGTCCCCCAGGCCAGCCTGGAGAACACCAGCAGCCTTTCCAGCCACCAGCTCCGAACGTACGAAAAACCATGGGGGTGGGCTTTGGCTGGGATTGATGTGGGGGGATGCAGGACTGGCAGAGCAGAAGCCTGCTGTTGCTGCAGGAGGCTGCAGAGCTGCTGCAGGCTTTACCTCCAGCAGATCTGCAGTTCCCCAGGGGAAAAGAACATGTGCAAAGTCTTGATGAGGGTTCATCTCACTGGCAGGGACAAGCATTACTGTGGATCGGGGAGCCCGGAGCAAGGGAGCAGGTTCTGCCTGGCTCAGCTGCTGGAGAGTGAGGCCACCAACCCCTTCGAGTATGATTTCAGCTTCCACCTGGAGATCCGGGGGCCGTGCTTGCTGGCAGGTAGGAGCGCCGGGACTGTCCTGCCACATCAGGCTGGTGTGTCCATTTTGGGCCCCTCATGACAAAAAAAAACATCGAGGTGCTGGAGTGTGTCCAGAGAAGGGCAAGGGAGCTGGTGAGGGGTCTGGAGCACAAGTCTTGTGAGGAGAGGCTGAGGGAGCTGGGGGTGTTCAGCCTGGAGAAAAGGAGGCTGAGGGGAGACCTTCTCGCTCTCTCCAACTCCCTGAAAGGAGGGTGTAGCCAGGGGGTTCAGTCTCTTCTCCCAAGGAACAGGCAATGGGACAAGAGGAAATGGCCTCAAGTTGCACCAGGGGAGGTTCAGATTGGATATTGGGAAAACTGTTTCCACGGAAAGGGTTATTAAGCCTTGGAATGGGCTGCCCAGGGTAGAGGTTGAGGCACCATCCCTGGAGATGTTCAAAAGCCGGGTTGACATGGTGCTGGGGGACATGGTTTAGTGATGGATTTTTGGCAGAGTTAAGCTGATGGTTGGACTGGATGATGTGAAAAATCCCTTCCAACCTTGGCAATTCCATGATTCCATGATACTGTAATCACCTCCTCAAGGCCGTGTCCACATTCTTCCTCTTTCTCTGCCTCCCTAGCGGGGAGTCTGTTTTGGCAAGTGAACTGTGCTGGGGCTGATGTTGATACAGCAAAAGCATCACATAGTCCGCTTGGTTCCTGTCCTCTGCCATCTTCTTGTCTCTTCTCCCTGCTCTTCCCCATCCTCAGTCCCTAACTCCACCATGGTTTCCCCGGGCAGGTGTTGAGAGCCCTACGCACGAGATCCGAGCGGACGCCGACCCCTCTGCTCGCTCCGCCAAGAGCATCGTGATCACACTGGCCAATAAACACACCTTCGACAGACCCGTGGAGATCTTGATCCACCCAAGTGGTAGGTGGGCTCTGCTTCCTCCCCGCTGCTCTCGCCCCTTCCTGGGATCCTCCTCCCTAGTGCTGGAGACAGGTGGATGAGCTCTGGTTTTGTGAATATTGCCAAGGGTTAGGCTTCCTAGGAGATAATCCTGGACCTTCTCAAGGTTGTCCATGCTGCCCAAGCTCAGAGATGTTGCTCTGTTTTCACCACCGAGGGTGCCTGCATCTCTGCCAAACCTAAAGTTTAGCTAAGGCGGTTTTTTCACCCGATTCCTTGCATTTCCAGAGCCCCACATGCCTCATATCTTAATGGAAGAAGGTGATATGACACCTGCAGAGTATGAACGACACCTGAAGGGGAAGAACGATTTCATTAAAGGCACAAAGAAAGACCCCAGCGCCGAGAAAAAGGTGAGAAGCAAAAGCTGCAGGTGTTGGCTGAGGCTTTCCTTGGGACTGGAACCACGCAGGTAAATGATTGCTTGATTGCTTCCAGTCCCAGATATTAAACTGGCCCAGTACAATGCGTCATCCTCCCTCGGAGGGGGGCTTCTGTGGAGGGAGAGGGAAAAATTCGGCAGTGCTTCTGATAAACCGAGTGTGGAAGCAGCTCTGAGATGGTTATTGTGTGTATAATTAGTGCTAGTCTAGCATAGCATAATTAGATAGGTACATTGTTACAGCATTAAGGGTATTATAATTATTGCAATGACATAGAATAAAATATTCTTTTAATTGCTCAGTAAATGTTTACTGTTTCTGGATAGCTGTCAGGGAGAAATAAGTGATTTTGCTTGGAATAATGAGCTGAGCTGAAGACAAGGTAGGAGAAACTTCTCTTTGTTCTGCTGATCAGCAAATAGAAAAATATCTGCTCTGGGATTTGTGCCTCGTCTTTCAGCAATTCTGAAGCAGTGAGTGACAACCTGGCACTTCTGAGCTGCCACATCAGTCAGTGTGTCTGGGATCCGTGAGGAACCCTCCGAATTGCCAGGGTGGGCGTTCTTCACCCTAAGGCACACGTTGTGCCCATGTCACCACCACCCCAGGCTGACTGTGTCAGCTCCCTCTTTTACGTGCACCCCTCTTCTCCTGTGTGACCAGGGATGCTCATTTCCCCTTAAACTCATTCTCCACCTCTCGGAGCCTGCTCTTTCCCCCCTGCAGCTTGGCAGACATCCCGAACCTGCTGCAGAGGTGCCTCCCTGGGCTGCTGTGATTTCCCCTTTCACCGGAGACACATCAACCCCCTTTTCTCGTTCCTTTTGCCCTTCCCTTTTTCCCTCACAGCCCAACGTGGGGATGGGGACTGCGCTTGCTCGCGCGGCGGGCGTCTCCTCTAATTGTCTTCAGCGTGTGGCAGGTGGAACGACATGAAACTCCCACACTAGGGCTCAGATGGCTCTCTAATTATTTTTGTGTCTTTAGCACGTCAAATCATCTAAGTGTGTGTGTGTGGGGAGGATCATTCCAGAGTCATTTCCCTGCAGGGAACCCACCTCTTTGCCCCAGGAGGATGGGGAAGCGACTGTACGGAGAAGGGCAAGAAGCAGGGAGAATGCCCCCAATATGTGGGGTGGATTATGGGCTAGAACTGCTGCTGCTCAGACATGGGGCACCTCGCAGCTTAAATGAATTAGCCCAGAAATTTCAGCAGTGAATGATAATTAATTGTCGTCCCTGGGTTTGTTATGCAAAAGCCTCGCATGCCCGTCAGCTAGCAGGGTGTGTGGGGGGATGAATGCACACAGGAATCCACTCGCGGCCACTCAGACAAGATCTGATTAGTTTACTGTAATTGGATAACGGGTGAAGGGGAACGGAGGGGAGGGGAGGTGAGGAGAAGAGACGGCGCTGATGAGATGCTCGCTTTTCTGGCTGACCTGCAGCAGCTGCTGGGAGGCTGTTTACAGAAGCCTTGCCTGTAAAATTCACTCTGAAGTCAGTGGGAAATCCTGGCTGTGGGCTCAGCCCCATCACGCAGAGATTTTATGTCTTGGGTCCCCAAGAGCATCCCAGGAAGGTCCAGAGCCACAATTTGGTCGTTGGGTAGAGAGGCAGCAATTTGAGCCTGCAATTCGATAAACATCCGTGCTGGGAAAGGTCTTAAAGAAAATAATGTCAGGCATCTGGAGGAAAAACGGGGATGGAAAAAGCCCTTTTATTTCCCAGTGACTGATTAATTCATGCTTGGGAGCAGGAGAGTGACATGCAGGAGGGTGGTGACAGTGAGGTGCTTGTTCCTGTGAATGGGAACCCTCTTTTCTCAGAGGTCAGAGGAGCAGCACTCCGGCGGCGCAGCCGAAAGCGGACGGGTGTGTTGATCCACAGGGACTCGTGTGTTATAGTGAGTTATGTAAAATAAAGGCTGGTGGCTTAGCTGGTAGATCTAGGAATATGACTCACAGCTGGAGGAAACAAACCCGGTTATTTGGGGTCTGGTTTACTCCTGGTGAAACCAGCAAAGAAACAAGCAGCCTTTGAAAGTGAAAAGAAAAGGCGAACAAAGCCCTGGAGGATGGAGCTGTTTATTGAGGTGGATGTTTCCCTGATGCAGACCCGGGGATGAAAGGCCAGGGGTTGTGCTGATGTGGGGTCCCGGAGCTCCCTCGAAAGCAGGGATGCGCTGACTCACTGCAAGCTGAGGCCGTGAACCCGGGACTGCTTTATAGACAGGCAGCAGCAGATTATAAACCCATCACCAGAGGTTTTTTCCCAGTTTAATTTCATCACGTTGTTAATGGAGATTGATACTTGAAATAGAAGGAGGCAGAAGGCAGAGAGCCATTAGAGCTGCGTGCGGTGCAGAGACATACATCACACCGGTTCCTATCGAACCGTGTCCGGGTTGGCTTTGCAAAGCTTTTCAATCCATACAAAGAAAAAATGATAAAAGAAAGGGGCAGAAAAAGCAGCAAAGCGGAGGCGGCAGGGACGTACGGAAGCGGTGAATACGGCACGCCGAGGGCTGTGTCTGCCACTTCATTATGGAGTGACCCCGGACGACACCTCCGATGTGCCTCGGCGTGGTGCTGAGCTGCACTAATGAACCACGTTTTCAGGAGGGATGTAATGAAAAGTTTGGAGAATTGGTGTTGCAACGAGCTGCGCGGGGCCGGATCTTTTGATTTCTTCTCCAGGCTCTCATCTGTGCGTGCAGGGGGGCTCTGGTTTAGCCTTTCTGCCCGTCTTTGTCCCCTGGGCAAAGGGTGACACGGGCTGGGAGGAGGCAGGTTTTTCACCCACGGAGCATCTCCTCTGGGGGTACGGACAGAACAACCCACAGCACAGCCTGAGCTCAGGTGTCGTCACCACCAAGGCCAGAACAAGCCCACAAAAGGCCACATATTTCCATTTTGGGGCACACAGTGAGAAGGGGGTAGAAAAAACAACCTCTCGAGCTCTCTCCTTCTTTCTTGCAGACAGAAATCATCAGGAAGCGGCTGAACAAGGACATCCCCCACCACCCCGTCGTCATGCTCAACTTCTGCCCTGACTTGAGGACCCTCCAGCCAGACCTCCAGAAAGCCCAAGGAGAGTTTATCTTCCTCATAGACCGCAGCAGAAGCATGAGCGGGGTGAACATCAACCGTGTCAAGGTACCACGCAGGAGGGGAAGTGCCTGCGTGCCAGTGAGGGATGAATATTAGAGAGCAGTGGGGGTTGCTGAGTGCTGATGAGTGTTCATTATGAGGGGATGGGGGGTAATTATAGGCTGTAGCTTTAGTCATCTCAACCGTGTGGCTTGTTAGGTACCTGCAGGGAAGCTGACTCTCCCCCGTTCTGTTCCTCTTCCTTCTATCAGCACATCAAATGTTTTCTTTCCCCCCTCTTGCTGGTGTCCTGTCCATCCCTTCTTCAGTTCTCCCTGCCTCCAGGAGGGCTTCCTAGTGAGGAGACCTCCAGGGAAAGCTTCAGGGCACCATGCTCACCAGGGATTAGGAAACATTTTGTTAATGGACACCTCTGTGCACCCGCCGAAGTTGTTTGAACATGATGCATCCCCTTTTCAAACACAAGTGAACACCAGCGGTCTGGTGGAAGCTTATGGGAGGTGTGTTGAGACCTCTGGATAAAAAAAGAGGGGCAGTAGAAAGGCCTTGTCATGATCTTCTGTGGGTCTGGGGTTCCCCTGCCAGATATGACTCTTACCCAGCTGCAGGTTGCCCCATGAGAGCTGGGCTTGGCTTTGTGCCACTGTGTGAAGGACCTGGAGAGGTTCCTGCCCCCAGCCTCCCGGGGACCACTCTGTCCAGCAAAGATGGGGAAATCACTCTGGTAACTATTTAATTATCCCTGCCTAATGCGCTTTGGAGGCCAGGTTGGTGTCACAGCGCTGGCCAGCTGGTGGGTCTTGGTTAGAAGCTGCAGTCTTTGGCAAAAGCTCTTTTGGAAAGTTTCTGTCTTGGTTTTTGGGGCCAGGTAAGCCCTAATGGTTTGATGAACATCACATTCTCCTGAGCGGGCCATGGGTCTGTGCTGCCCCATGCAACTTTTTTGAGGACAGTGAGGGAATTACAGAGGCAGGCATCATCTGAGGGTTTGGGTTGCATTTAGATATCTGATAGCTTCACTGAGCTGGTGTGTCCCCAGGTGTCCTGCTCACACCCTTTCCTACCAAAGACAAGTGTCACCCAGATTTGGACCCAAATGCTCCCCCGGGTAAGGCTGCACCCCTCTCTGCAGGACTTGCCACCCAGGATGAGCAGCAGGGAGCATCTCCTAGCCCATCTCCTTACCCGTCTGTCTCCGGTTTCCATGGGAACTGCTGGAGGACAGCCACCTCCAGCAACAAGGATCAGGATTCAGGGAGCCCGAGAATGGCTGTAACAGTTCCCCTGGGATAGGGAGGCTGTCCCCTGTCCCTGCATCCACCAAAGGGGCTGGGATATCTCTGAGGTTGTACCTCCTTCCCTCGGCACGTTTTGCAGCCTGGGAATCAGGAGGCATCTCTGTCCCCGGCCAGAGTTTTGCTTTCCGACCCCCAGCACGGCTGGGTTTGGGCACTGCATTCTCTGTCATCTCCACGGAGGCTGGTTTGTCCCATGGGGATGGGGACCCTGCAGGGACAGAGCCCTTCTCCAAGAGGTCTGGCCAGGTTTGGGCACTGTGTTCTCTGCAGCCTCCATGGAGGCCACTTTGTCCCATGGGAATGGGGTCCCTGACAGGTCCTGAACTGGGAGGCTTGTAAAAACAGGAAAAAAGGCTGTCCCCCTGCTGGAAAAATATTTCAGGGGAGTTACCAGAGATTTTGGAGGAGATAGATACCTCAAGGGAGAAAACCACTGGTTTTTTTTTGAGTCCCTCATCCTTGTTTATGACTTGCACATATCAGGGAGCTCCTGGCAGTCCCTGTTCTTGGTGGGTCTGGGTGGATTATGCTTGATGGAGATACCTGTGTCGTCCTCAGGGTGCTGGGCAAGCCAGGTGGCAGGGCTTGGAGCTGTGGAGCAGTGGCACTGGCAGAGATGCAGCTGGGAAGGGGATGGGAGGACACGGTTCACTGCCGAGCAGGAGGACAAAGCAGTTGGGGTGGAAAGTTCAGGGGTTTAAATTTCCTGCAGCTGGTTCCTTCCCCACCCTGATGCAGCCAGAGAGAAGAGCCAGGCCCATGACGGTGCCCGCACCGGGTGGCCTCACTGGCAAAACTAGACTAATAACTGGGAATTGACTTCTCTGGAGGCAAACATCTCTCCTTATTGAGCTGCCATATAGATATTGAGCGCAACAGGATCAGGATCAATATTTACCACAAGAAGCAATAAATCTTTCCGCTCGCTGAAACAGAACACCGGCATCAGTTGCCCACTTCGGGGAAAAAATCTTCAGAAACCTGTTTTTTTTCTTTGTAATAAGTTCTGAGGTGGGGTGTCAGCGTCGAGATTTGGAAGAGCCGGCATCCCAGGAGCCATCTGGGGAGCAGAGGTATAAATATCCTCTCGTAGGTTTGAGATAACAGCTTGGTTTAAAGTCCCCTGGAGCCTCTTAAAGGGCAGCCCTGTTCTCCTACGTTATTTCCCTGCTTTGCCGTGCTCCAGCTCTGCTGAGTCTTACGGGGGGGTTGGGACCTGGACTGAGCTGCCACCCGTCTCCTGGTGGCTCTTCCCAGGCTGGGGGTTTCTCTACGTGTCACTCGGTCTTTGCCACCATGCGTGACGAAGCAAGGAGGCTCCTCTGGCTCCTTTGACCTTGGCAGCTCTTCTCTTGGGGCTGGCTCTAGGGTTTCTGCTGCCCTAGGCAGACTGGCAGGAGTCTGCCTGTATCAGCAGATAAAGAACTGAGCTGCTCCCGAACGCTGCCAGCACTTTGCTTAATTTAAAGCAATTTAGGCCTCCTTCTCCTGCCACCCTAATTGCTCCCGCTGCCCCTGCAAGCTCAGGAGCTCCTTGGGCAGCTCTTTGCCCAGGTGCTGCCAACTCAAGCTCTGTCCTGGAGTTGTCCGTGGCCATCACAGAACTCTGAAACAATTCAAATTGTTCTCCCCTTATGTAAAGACCAGGAATAGGCAAGTTAGATAACCACCTCTGGTAAAGAAAATAGCTTAAATCTGTCTCTCCCGGTTATTTTAATTGATGCCAGCTATGAATACAAGAGAATTGGGGATGGGGGAGGCTTTTCCTTTTGTGTAACTTTGAGCTGTTTGTTTATTTTCTGCAAAGTTTGGACATTGAAATGCGTTGCGTGTCGCACTTCTCAATTTCACACTCTGCTTCTCACCCACTAGCTCCGTGCTGCAGTACCGTATTGCGAGCACAAATTTAATCAGTTAAAAACAAACAGAAAAATTTGTTCAGCTCTTTTTCTTTTCTTTTCTTCTTTTTTTTTTTTTTTTTTTTTGAAGGCTCCCCATTTTCCTCATGGTTTTGGGACCCGAATATCATTAAGGGGCTTGGGAAAGGGCAGGGTAATATGCGGTGGTTTCACATGCATTGCCATCCCCAAATGCAGGGGGGAGTAGGATGTGGTGGCAAGGTGGGACCTGGGCAGAGCTTTTACTGGTGAAGCTGGGGCAGCCATGGAGAGACCTGGAGTGCCTGATGTCTGCTTGCTTCCCACCCCCTAGGATGCTCTGTTGGTCATTCTCAAGAGCCTGATGCCAGCGTGTCTCTTCAACGTCATTGGGTTCGGATCCACTTTCAAGACCCTTTTTCCTGCCAGTCGGACTTACTGCGAGGTGGGTGAAGGGGGAGACACGATTCCTTGGTGCTTGGAGGGTGCTGGTGCAGAGGCTGATGATCCTGCTGCTCCCTTGGGCAGGAGAGCTTGGCCATCGCCTGCGAGAGCATCAAGAGGATCCGGGCCGACATGGGTGGCACCAACATCTTGTCACCTTTGAAGTGGGTCATTCGGCAGCCCATCCACAGGGGCCACCCCCGACTGCTCTTTCTGCTGACGGACGGGGCCATCAGCAACACGGGGAAGGTCCTGGAGCTGCTACGAAACCACTCCTGCTCCACCAGGTAGGGAGGGTGGCAGGGCTCGGCGCCGCACGCCTGGAATGGTGGGGGACACGTTTCTCCTTGAACATGGCTCCGTCTCACAAACGTCCCTGCTTCAGAGGCAGAGGCAGGAGAGATTGCTGGTATGAGCCATGGGAGAACCTCAAAGGGTTTGGAACGGATCCCAGAAGTTCAGATGCTTTTTAAACAATCAAAAGCAGGATAATTGGGCTGACAACTTCACAGGCTCTCGTCTGATGCTTCCTGCTAGGAGAGATTGACACACGAACAATCTTCCTTGCTGGGTTTTTGTTTTTTTTTAGGTTTCTTTTTTTTTTGGTTTTTTTTTTTAAAGCACATCTGGGTCTGGCCCCAGCTGCTTCCAGGATGGGGATGCGCAGAATTGAATATGCTGAACGAGAGCAATGTGAAAAGCCGCTAATTTGTGCATCGAGCTGCCAGCCTGGCTCCTCAGCTCTGATGACAGGCTGCTCTGGTTTCTCCTCTGCCTCTTTAAGGGGCAAGAAATATAAGAAAAATGTAAGGAAACCTTATTCCTCTTCCATCCCTCAGACTTCAGGGTCTACCAGGGAAGATGCTCTGTCCTTTTTTCACTATGTGGAGGTTTAATTGCTTTCCAGCTGCACAGGGCAACCTGTCCCTCGCTCTTACAGAGGCATGGTGGTGGGTTCAGTGCAATCAGTGTGGCCCCTGTCTCAAAAGAAGATTTAAGAGGGTGTGAGGCTGGCCTAAGATTTGCAGGATTAAAAACCCCTGAGAGAAAAGCCCCTCGTGCGGATGCAGTTTGCTGCCAAAGATGGTTTCTTCCTCAGCTATCCACTGCCCTGCCTGAAGGCTGTATCCCACCATCCTCATCCTTCCTGGCTTCCTACTGCATCCATCCCCACCTCACTCCTGCCCTCCCTGCCCAGGTTCCAGCTCTGCTCTGGGTCTGCAGCCCTCAGCCAAAACCAAATCCTGCCTCGTTGAGCCGGCAGCCGCGGGAGCAGCCTCGCCTGGCTGGATCCTCTTTCCTTGAGAAAACGTTTATTTTAATTGTGAGCAGAGAAAATGACTGGGTCTTTAGTGCTATTGACCACGAACACTCAGCAGGGATAAGAGCTGAACTGGCAGCAAAAGCAGCTTGTTTGTGTTTGCAGAGGAGGAGAAGGCTTGGGGTCCTGCTGGGAAGGTCCTGAGCGTCGCAGCTGAAGGCTGCTCTTCGAGGAAGGGGTTTGAGGTCATAGAATCATAGAATCATCTAGGTTGGAAGAGACCCTTGGGATCATCGAGTCCAACCATCTCCCCTACTCTACAAAGTCCTCCCCTACACCATGTCCCTCAGCACTGCATCTAAACGGCCCTTAAACACAGCCAGGGATGGGGACTCCACCACCTCCCTGGGCAGCCTGTGCAGCCTGGGCAGGTCTGCTGAGTGTAGAGAGATGCCCATTCCCAACCCTTCTGCCATCCATCTAAAGGAGGAGCTGGTTTATTTTCCTCCAGGCATGCTGGACAACTGCACAGCAGTGGGATAAAGCTTGGGGGTGGGGGGTTGGGGGTGTTATCTTCTGCCTGCAGGGAGTGGGTGAGCTGCGTGGGGTTTGGGATGGCTTTGTCCCCAGGATCCTGACTCTCCCTGTCCCTTTTGCAGGTGCTACAGCTTCGGCATCGGGCCAAATGCCTGCAGGAGACTGGTTGGGGGGCTGGCCACCGTGTCCAGGGGCATCGCCGAGTTCCTGGCGGAGGGCGAGAGGCTGCAGCCCAAGGTAGGGGCTGCCCGTTCCCTGGGGGACCACCTCGTGAGGCTCAAGGGCCATGCCGTGGTTCAGCGAGGGGGAGGCCATGGCTCACTAACGGGTCTCGTTCCCCATCCTTGGTTGCTGCTTTTTCCAACTCCCACTCGGCGGCGGGTGGGCGAGCGGGAGGGGATGAAAGAGCATCTTCATCTCCGGCTGTCAGAGGGAGTGGGAGGGTGTGTTTACCCTCTGTGTGGGGACGGGGAGAAGCGATAGCCGTGATACAGCAGCTCTGGCTTCAAAGGGAGCTGCTGCCTCAGACACCGGCGAGGGCAGAGGAACCGGCATCAAAGCAGCCAATTAGTTTTGAAGTCAGGCTCAGCCCTGGCGTTGCTCGGGCGAGAAGCACCCGGGGTCTGAGGGAGAGGAATACATCACCATAGCTTTGCCTATTAAGCCACCTTTAAAGCAAAGGGGGGAGCCTCTTAATTTCCACTCTCCCCGTGAAGACTGAGTAAACCCATGTGCCTTAAATTGGGTGTAAGAATGGCTCTGTCCCCCCGGTGAAAGTACACTGCCTGTGCCGTCATCCGTTGGATGACTAAACCCAGAGAGAATTGGGTCTTTAGCTCCTAAATATCTCTAAAAAGCTGGCCGTTACATTCTTGATCTCTAACGGTCCCTTCCAACTCTAAAACATTCAGTGAAATTCAGTGAAAAGAAGGGGTTCAGCAGCCCAACCCTCTGCGGGAACCTGGAGCACACAAAAACCTCTCTAAGACAGAACAGTATCAGCATTTCTGATGTAAATTAAAAGCAAAGACAGCGAAGGGAGGTTTGTGTTGTTTTTTTTTTATAGAGCTATTAATAAAGAGCTTTGCGGGCTGTGCAGCTTGGTGCCTTCAGCAGTCTGAGGCATCAATTAATGGCCTTATAAAACACAGCCTGGTGTGTCTTCCTGAGCCTGTGAAAAAGCAGCGAACAATAGAGAACAGTTGAGCTGTTCTGCCTCTAAATCTGGTGTTCTCTTCCCCCGGTGTGCAGAGAAGCTCTCGTGGATGGCTCCCTGGTAGGTTTGTCCATGAGATATTCACGGATATCGGTCTTCTCCGCGTGTGTAATTGGCAGAGCATCGCTGATCTCCAGCAGGGGCTTGTGCCAGCAAGGACCTGCACCAAAAATAGTGGTGCTGTCGGTCGGCGTCTGAGTATCAGGGCTTGGGGCTTGGAGAAGTGAAGCCCAGCAGCTTTTCCTGGGTGCTGGAGGGGAGCAGGGGATGCTGCCTCGCACTGGAGCGAGATGCCACCTTGCTTTGGGCTGGCAACACGTGGTGTGAGATCAACCCTGCACTGTATCAATATCTACCTCTGGCTGGTGAGGGGTCTGGAGCACAAGTCTTACGAGGAGAGGCTGAGGGAGCTGGGGTTGTTCAGTCTGGGGAAGAGGAGACTGAGCGGAGACCTTATCGCTCTGTACAAGTACCTGAAAGGAAGCTGTAGAGGGGCAGGGGTCAGTCTCTTCTTCCGAGCTACAGACAATAGGACAAGGGGTAATGGCTTCAAGTTGCACCAGGGGAAGTTCAGGTTGGATATTAGGAAACATTTCTTTTCTGAAAGGGTTGTCAGGCATTGGAATGGACTGCCCAGGGAGGTGGTGGAGTCACCATCCCTGGAGGTATTTAAGAAACGTGTAGACATGGCTCTTCAGGGCATGCTCTAGTGCCCAAGATTATTGGTTTGTGGTGGGATGTTGTGTGGGTGGGTGATGGTTTTGGTTTGGTTGTTGTTGTTGTGTGTTTAGGGGGTGGGTGGTGGTTGGTTTTGGGTTTTTTTGTTGTTTTGGTTTTTTTTTTGTTTTTTTTTTTTTTGTGGTTGGACTCAATGATCTCTGAGGTCCCTTCCAACCACTACGATTCTGTGATTCTGTGATACTCTGCTGCCCTTGGTATAACTGGTCCAAGGGCCTGGGGGTGACGGGATGGGTGTCAGAGCAGTGTCAAAGCAGTCTAAGAGGGAGCAGGCTCCCGTCTAAGGTCAGGAGAGGGTAGGAATGAGCTGATTATTTGTTTGGGGAGATTTTCCCCTTCCCTGCAACACACAGAGTGTGCACCGTGGCACAGGGGACATCCAGTTGCTCTGTAACCGTTCCCCCTCTGTGTTCTTCCTCAGATGATCAAGTCACTGAAGAAGGCGATGGCGCCGGTCCTGAGTGACGTGTCCGTGGAGTGGGTCTTTCCCGAGAGCACCGAGGTCTTGGTTTCCCCTGTCAGCACCAGCTGCCTCTTCCCTGGTGACCGGCTGGTCGGCTACGGCATCATCTGTGACACCTCCCCCTACATCTCCAACCCCAGATCGGTGAGTCCAGGAGGTGCAGGCTGGTGGGGCTGTCCCAGGAGCAGGGGGCTGTCGGTGTGCATGTGCATCACCAGGCACCTTGGCTCTTTGTGCCTCTTCAGGAGGTGCTTCTTGGCTTCTTGCTCTGTCCTCAAAGGGGAGGGTGGGTGAGACATCGGGGAGAAATAGGAGCCACCAATGTGCCCTTGTGGCCAAGAAGGCCAATGGTTTCCTGAGGGGCATTCAAAAGAGCGTGGCCAGCAGATGGAGGTCATCCTCCCCCTCTGCTCTGCCCTGGTGAGGCCACAGCTGGAGTCCTGTGTCCAGTTCTGGGATTCCCAGTTCCAGAAGGACAGGGAACTGCTGGAAAGAGTCCAGCAGAGCGCTAAGAAGATGCTCAGGGACTGGAGCATCTCTCTGCTGAGGAAAGGCTGAGAGACCTGGGTCTGTTCAGCCTGGAGAGGAGCAGACTGAGAGGGGACCTCATCAATGCTTATCAATATGTAAGGGGTGGGTGGCAAGAGGATGGGGTCAGGCTCCTCCCAGTGGTGCCCAGTGCCAGGACAAGGGGCAATGGGCACAAACTGGAACATGGCAAGTTCCATCTGAACATGAGGAAAAACTTTCCTTTGAGGGTGTCAAATCCCTGGAACAGGCTGCCTAGAGAGGATGTGGAGTCTCCTTCTTTGAAGATGTTCCAAACCCACAAGGTCACCTTCCTGTCCAGCCTGTTCCAGGTGACCCTGCTCTGGTGGGAGGTTGGACTGGATGATCTCCAGAGGTCTCTTCCAGCCCCTGCCAGTCTGTGACTCTGTGATAAGGGTCCTGGTGCACAAGCAGTGGTTCCTTTCAGCTGAGGGACGCGGTGGTAGGACCCATTCCATCTCTTTGCTTTCCCCCCAGGACAAGAGGCGACGTTACAGCATGATGCGGTCCCAGGAGTCGGGCAGCTCCGTTTTCTTTCACTCCCAGGAGGAGGGAGCAGGGGTGGAGAGCTGGAACCACTCCAGAGACTCGGAGGGCTGCTGCCCCACTGAGCGTGCCCCCGATCACCTGGTGGTGGGCAGAGATCCCGGGGGAGAATCGGACACGGACACCGGTCAGATTTCCCTCTGTACAAGCGTGGGTGTGATGCCCCTGTCTTTCTAATCAAGCTTCTGTCGCTGCTCTGCCAATTTGCTTGTCTGACAAATAAGTCTCTTCGGCTGTATCTCTGCAAAGAGCCGGAGGGGTTTGCAGGAGGGATGACAGATCTCTCGAGGCTTGAGCGAGTCTGTTTGGTTTGGATGTTTTATCCAAACCTGTCAGGAAATCAAGGGAAGCCCTGGAGAACTGGCTTCCCCGGAGATTTTCAAAGCAGCTTTAGTTTTGGCCACGTAGTTATTTACAAGCTTCCCAAGCTGCCCTCCAGTGTGTGGAGAAGGAGAGGAATTGAGCCCAGCTAAGACTATCCCTGCACCTGTGAAGCAGTCGTTTCCCTGCAAGCCCTTAAGTTGCAATTCAAGGTCAGAAAAGGGGGAAATGGACCCAAAGCCCTGTCTCTAGGGTGTCACGCCTCACCATCATGGTTCGGCTGGGTATTTGTGTCAGCAACATGCAGCATAAAGCGGCTGGTTGCACCCCAGAGCTGGTTGCACCCCAAATCTGGTTGCATTTCCAGGTGACAAGGAAGCCTCTGTCACTCGTGGGGTGTTCTTCGCTTATATTCAGAGAGGAACTGTGCTGTGCATCCCCTCAACCTTGTCAAAAGCAATGAGAAATCATGCCTTTCCAAATGAAATTTTACTCTTGCTCTGACAGGAGAATGTCTGCGCTAATGAAATTTCATTAGTAAACCCTTTGTCTTCTCCAGGGAGGTTTGGGGAAGCGCAGTCAGGCTTTTTCTGGCTGAAAACCGCTCAGACAAAACCTCCCCAATCTGCTCTCCCCACTTCCCCAAGAGTTTTGAATGTAGGCTCTTATTTCCTTTTGCGGTTTAGTTGCTTTGCTTAAAACCTTGCAGGGCTGAGCGTGTCCCCCTCAGCCCTGGGAGGACCAGAGGGGTGGGCTCCCTGCTGGCTCCAAGGGTGGATGGTGCTGGCTGGTTCTGCTCTGGAGCAGAGCTGATCCTCTCTCCCACCCTGCAGGAATGGACGTGAAGGCTTCCTCCAGGAGACGAGCCTACAGCACCACCCAAATCGCTGACCATGAGCCTTGCAAGAAGGTGCCGACGGCCAGCGACCCCGGCACCGCGCTGGTGAAAAACCCCCTTCGGAAAACCCACCTGCAGGACCTGCAGCAGGTCAGCCCCGAGCCCTGGCAGGTGGATTTCCAGGTATGTGGTGCCCAGAGAGGCTTTGCCTGCAGCCTGCAGCAGCAGGGAAGTCTCAGATGCATAAGGGAAAGAGCCTGGCTCACACTAGTCCAGCAGCAGGGAAGTCTCAGATGCATAAGGGGAAGAGCCTGGTTCACACTAGTCCTGAGATGGATAGATAGATAGATAGATAGATAGATAGATAGATATGTGCCCATGCTCTGTGCTGCAGCACATCACAAACATGTAGAAAACAAGCCAGACAGGGAGCAGGCTCCCATCCTGACACCCTATAGCAGTTCCTCCCCATTGGAGCCCAGCTTTTCCATGATAAATAATGCCTCTCCCCTTCCTCCAAGTGGCCCTTGCTGCTCATCTGACCCCCAGGCTGCTGCTTCCTTCATATTTCCCCATCCAGGCAAACTCCTCCTAGGGTGGTGGCACATCTGTGCCCTGCAGGGGACAAGAAAGTCAGTCCTGAAGCAGATTCCCCACTGCTCTAGCTGGAACCACAGCCCATACCCAGCGTCGGGCTGAGACATGGACCTGTGTGATGATACATCCCCTGGACAGTGTTCTGTCCCCCTCCTGCTGCAAATAGCAGGTGAAATTTGGGACGCTTTTCCAGCTGATCTCTAGAAGATGGGTTTTCTCCCATCCTTGGCATCGCCAGGATGCTCTGCTCTGCAATCAGCATCTGCAGGGCTGGGAGGACCAGCAGCACTTTTGTTCCCATGGAAACTCGGAGCGGGATGTCGGGGGCTTTGGTTTCTCTTCTGCTGCTGCGGGTTAGAGATGGGCTGGGTGATGGGGGGCTGGAGCTGAGATGAGGGGGCGAAGGGGAAGAGGGGCCAGGGCTCCGTTGGGAAGAACCTTTACCCTTCAGTGAGGGTGGTGAGCAGCATTGCTGGATGAAGGGTGAGCAATGGTACATTTTAGGGGTACCAGTGACCTTGCCTGCATCCCGAAGGTCCACAGAGCATCCTCCTGCCCACGGGATGCTCAGTGGGGGCGAAGGGGAAGAGGGGCCAGGGCTCCGTTGGGAAGAACCTTTACCCTTCAGTGAGGGTGGTGAGCAGCATTGCTGGATGAAGGGTGAGCAATGGTACATTTTAGGGGTACCAGTGACCTTGCCTGCATCCCGAAGGTCCACAGAGCATCCTCCTGCCCACGGGATGCTCAGTGTGAAGGCAGGGCTGGAAACGACTCCCTTCTGGAAGGCAGTAAACGGTTAACAGCATGAATCCTGGTCTTAATTAATTGCAGCCTGGTTTTGCTATCCCTCGTGCTGCGAGGGCTCCCGGCGGCTCTCCCAGCTCCCAGTCCTGCTGCCAGGGCTTGACATTTTCAGGGGTGTGAACGTGAGCCCTCAGCTTGTCTCCTCGCACGCCGTGCTGGGAAGGAAAGGTCAGCACTTGCGATGGGCAGCTTAAACCCCCAGCTCCGTTCCCAACCGGCTTCCTCTGGCTGGGAGGAGACCTCGGGCAGGAGAAGGAGCAGGTTTTGAATAGAAAGGGTCTGGCAGGGGCTTGTGTGACAGGCTTGCTTTTAAATATCTCAGCCCTAGCTCGGAAAGTAGCTCCTGGAGCTGCCTGCCTCCCGATTTTTGCTGGTGGTTTCATAGAGCATCAAAAATTCAGCGGTGATGGAGGCCAGGTTCTTGCCTGCCACCCAGGAAAAGCATCTTTCCATCCATCACTGCAATCCACCACCTCTGTCCCTGACTGGTGCTGTGCTGGGAAGACAGAGAGACTGTCCATTTTGGGGGGACCTTCCCACTGTCCTGGGGACAGGGATAGAAACAGCCAGAGCTCGGTGTCTCTGCTCGCCATGGAGGGGGACATCTATGCGGTATGTGGCACCGGAGATGCTGGTGGGGGAAACTGTGTCTTCTGAAAGTGGAGAAACAGTCTTTTTTTAATTAAAAAAAAAAAAAAAAAAAGATAAAAATTCCCTTCTCCCCATCCCCTGCGCCTCTCTGCTTTCGTTACTAAGCAACTGGTCCTTGATCTTTCTGTCTGTCTTCTTTCCTTTGGTTCCCAAGTGAAGTCATTAAAATGTCTGGAGGGATGAAACTCATATTTCACCTTCTGCCTGTCTGGGGAAGGAGCCCCTGGGGCCGGGGTCCCTTGGGGACACTCTGCAGGTCTGATGGTGGGGGGGGGGTCTGTCTGGGCACGGATCCCAGCGGGGGCTGAGCAGAGAGGGACCCGAATGTTTGCATGGTTGTATCTCACGCTGGGATGGGGCTGATGGGATCCAAAGGGACAGAGCAGGTCCGTGCCATGGGTTGCAGCTGGCTCCAGCCCTAATATTTGCTCTGCTCTCAGCCCTTTGCAGCCAACTCCCTGGTCTCTGCCACAAGGATCCGTGGTGCCGGCGCCCGGCGGCCGTCCCTGCTCCACCGGGGCTGCATGTCCTTCTGCCACGACCCCGACTCCTCGCCGGTGATGGAGGGGCTGCAGCAAGTGTCTCCAGGAAGGGGCTTGGGACCATTTGATGCCAGCACGAGCCTGCGGTCCTCCTCGGATAGCCGGAGCCCCGGAGATCTGGGTAACTGGGGAGAGAGGGAGGCACGGCCACCCTCACCTGTCCGTGCCAGGGTTTCCCATTTCCGTCACGTTCTTGTGCCACCGGGTGAAAATTAGGAAGTATTAATTACGGTTTCTTGGTGGCAGTGGGGAATTCAGCTCCCACGGATGCGATTAATTATCCACCTCTCCCCTCTCTGCAGAGTCTGCCCAGCATCCTTCCTTCACGTTTGAAACGGAGACCTCCTCTGACTGGGAGCCCCAGGACTTCGACTTCAGCGCCGCCCGCGGCTCCCCACACTCCCCCAGGACCTTCTGCAAGGCGGTGGTGAAAGGGCTAAGGAGCAACGAGCCCGTGCAGTGGGAAGTGGCCTTTGATATCCTCCCTCTCTTCCAAGAGCGGGAGAGCCAGGCGGACGGCGACGCAGACCTGTGGAGCGAGACCTTCCACCACCTGGCAGCCAAGTCGGTGATCCGGGACTTTGAGCAGCTTGCTGAGAAGGAGTGTGAAATCGAGCACGGTAACTACAGGCAGACCCTGCCCTGCCTCGGGGTGGGCTTCCCAGCAGCTTCTCAAGTCAAGCAGTGGGGGAAATATCAGGCAATGTCTCAATGTAGTTCCCCAACGACAGCCCCCTCCAGCTGCCTTGCACTTTTCTCCTGCTTCTGCATCCTTGCTGCGCAGCGACGCGCTTGAGTTCATGCTCCTTCGTGCTCCTCTGCTTCACATGTTGGGTGACTGGTTATTTTTAAGGAGTTGGTCACCTGGAGCTGGGAGGTGGCATCAAACTCAGAGGGTCCAACAGCAGCTGTGCATCGCTTTTCTGTTCTGTTCTGTCCCTGGGTCTTGTCAAACTTCTGCTCCATAAAGTGCATCTTACCTTGGTCTGGTGGGAGGTGTCCCTGGCCATGGCAAGGGGGGTTGGAACTTGATGATCTTTAAGGTCCCTTCCAACCCAAACCATTCTATGATCCCATGATTCTATGAAAATAAGAGCAGAAGATGCAGCAGGCATCTAAGAGCCAAGAGGGACACAGTCCCTGCTGGGCGTGAAGTCCAAGCATGTAGGTGGGTCTGAGATCTTGGTCTGAAGGGTGGATGGAGCCCATGGGGCACGTGGGACTCTAACCCTGGTGTCTCTCCCGTGGCAGGGTCCGGGCGGCGGTACCAGGTCAATGCTGTCCACACCAGCAAGGCCTGCAACGTCATCAGCAAGTACACGGCGTTCATGCCGGTGGACCTGAGCACCAACGCCTACCTGCCCACCGTGGTCGAGTACACCCACACGGGTAACACCTTGATGGAGGGGTAAAACCTTGTCCTGGGAGGTTTTCTCACCTGACAAACCTTGCTCAGGGCAAACCCTATGAAGCCATGGCTTAATTCAGTACCAGACCTATATACCTAAGGCCATGGCCGAACCTAACGCCATGCCTGCTGCTCTTGGTGGCAAGAACCTCTTCCCCATGGCCAGGCAAAAGGTCTACTCTTAGGTCTGGATGCCCAGAGTTGACCAAACTCGTCATTCTGTGGGTTTTGTTGCCATCGTGTGTGTGCCAGTCCCTCTCTAATGCTGGCAATTCCTTTCTCTCATGCCAAGGGGCAGCATCCAAGCAAGACCGCCAGAGGAGCCTGAGCTCAGGAAACAGAAGACATCGTGGTGTTTCCCCTGGACGTCCCCAGTCAGCTTGTGGTCAGAATGGAGACGATGGATTTTACGGCATGAGTAAGATTCCCTGGGCTTTTTGTCTCCTTTCTTAGTGGTTTAGTCTATGAAGGGACATCTTCTCTGGTCCTTTTTTTTTCCTTTCTGCCTTTCTCTTTGAATATGGTGCTCACCAGACACGTGTCTGGCTGGAGTCCATCTCCTTCAATGGGGAAGAAGCTGCAATTTCCCCTGAAACTCCCAAATCGCAGGCAGCGGCTGCTGACGATACTTGGAAGTTAATTGGCAGCCGTAGCACAGATAACATGAGGGATGAGACCGGGTGTAATTAGAGGCAAAGGGGATGTGAGACACTTGCTTGTCACCAAATCCTCCGCTAATGAAGACGAGTTGGATCGGACCTTGTCTGGCGTTGTCGGGTCTGAATTAAAATCGCCCTGATCAGGCTCATTAACCTGATAATGCCACGGGGAGGGAGGGCGGCCATGCCAGTTTGGGCTGGGTGGTGTTGCTGACGTGGTTCCTCCCTTGCAGATGCAGAGGAGAGCAGCCTGTCGCCCTGCAGCACCCCTTCTTCCTCAGGCTGGGAGCGCTGCGGTCTCCCCGAAGGTAGGGGGAAAGAGCTGATGGGACTTTGCCGGGCTGCAGGTCCATCGAGCCTGTGATTTGGGCCCTTCACCAAATACTTCTGCTGAGTTTTGGGGGTTTTGGTAAAACCTTAGGACCTAAAATTGGGCCTGAGTGCACAAGACCTGACTCCTTCGGGGAGAGGAAGGATTTTGCCAAAGACTCAGCAGAAGAACAAGCCACCCCATGTCCCAGCACGTAGACTCTGTTCCCTTTCAGTCTCCTGTAGCACCTCGTTTTACCCCCAGCTTTGTGTGTCTTCCCAGGGCCGTTACAGAGCCTGTCTGCTACCTCTGCACAAGCCCAAAAATCCATCGAGAGCCTCTTTGCTGCAAGGTATGGGCCAGCTCAGCCTTTCTCTGACCTTAGCAGATGTCTTGCACCCTTGTGGGTCTGATGCCAACACAAGTGAGGGGAAGGGACACCCTGGGGTTGGGGGTTGGAGCTGAGACCGAGCATGATGCCAATGTCTGGGGACCAGGGATGGCTTTGGGTGGGGAGGGTGGGTGTCAGGAGGGGCACGGAGGTAATGGCCACCTTCCCCTCCTCCTGCAGGCTGACCTTCAATAAAACCAGGCTGCTGACTCGAGCCGCCAAAGGCTTCATGAGTAAATCTCCAACCAGAGTGAGCGAAGCCAGCTCCGAGGGTGACAATGAGAACATAGACTACCTTCCCCTGGTGAGCAGCTCGTTGCCAGGTCTTGCCGGGGTTGCATGGTTACTGCAGGGGAGCAGAGGGCAGGAGGTTCCCCCCAGATCCTGTCTCTGACGGTCATGTCCAGTGGTCTGCTCAGAGATGGAGCAGATGGAGTCTGCTCCACCCATGCATGCCTTTTTCCTGAACCTCCTGAGAGTGGTTGCTATCTCAGAGGTTCTCTATGTGCCTACTGCTTCTTGCAGGCGTCTCTGCAGCTGGCCTGTGGTGCCTTTCTCATGAACTTGGCCTTCTGCGACGCCGTCAACATCCCCATGGAGAAGCTGAAGTGGACATCTCCTTTTGCCTGCCACCGCCTGGCCCTCAGCCCCTCCAGCTCCTACAGCACCAAGAAGACCAGTCCCTCCGGGGACCACAAAAGCCTCAGCTCTGGCCAGCAGCTCCTGGTTCCCGATGGCACGCACGGGAAGAGTCCCACCAACAGAGACACTGCTCCGTGCGCGGTGCCGGAGCGGCCCAGCAGCCACAGGGACGACGCCGGTGCCGGAGCGGCCCAGCAGCCACAGGGACAGGGACGACGCTGGCCGTCTTCGCCACTTCTCGGGCAGCGCGGTGGAAAGCATCTCCAAAGCCTTGAAAGCTGAGAAGGAGCTCTCCCCACCAGCCATCACCATCCGCCGCTTCTCCTCCCCAGAGAGCACGCAGGCCTCGGCCGAGCAGCAAGCTGACAGCGGCCGGGGCTCGGAGACGGAGAGCTCAGAGGTCCAGGCCTTACTCTTTGACATCGAGTTGCAGCAGCAGACGGAGCCAGAGGGGATGTTGTGGGCCACGGCGGTGGCCTTGGCCTGGTTGGAGCACAGCTCGGCTTCCTACTTCATCGAGTGGGAGCTGGTGGCTGCCAAGGCCAGCCTGTGGCTGAGCCAACAGGACTTCCCCGAGGGATACAGCCTGGCCACGGTGAAAGCCGCAGCCCAGCAGCTCTTCGTCCTGCTCCGGCACTGGGATGAAAACCTGGAGTTCAACCTGCTGTGCTACAACCCAAGCAGCGTGTAAAAGAGGACGAGGAGAGAGGCTCGGGCAGCTTCCCCAAGGGCGCAGGAGCAGGGACACGTCCTCAAGGAAACTCCTCCAAGGAGCTCAGTTCCTCTGCTGCGGGGACAGTGCGTGTTTATTAGAGCAAGCCCTGCCAAAGGGAAACAGCCCGGGCAAAATCCTGTGCTCAGCAGTTGGTATTTTGCCCCGGGAGGGTACCTACCAGCTGCCCGCAGTAGGATGCTATTTATTTTTAACCAGAGCAGCACCTCCAGCTACAGCAGTTCTCTCTGATCCTGGTTTCCTCTGGTTCCCAGCCCTGTTCCCAGAGCAGGTGGCCCCAGTGCCAGCTCAGTTTGCCCAGTCCTCGCTTGGCTCCCTCTTCCCAGCCCTGAATCACTGCTGAGCCCTTGCTGCGAGCCATGGGTCGCTGATCTCCTGAGGTTCCTTCCTGGCTTTGGCCACCTCAGATGTCTTTTGGCAAAGGTGAACATCTAACCACGTGCTCATCTCGTGGACCAAAGGAAATCCAGGCTGGAACTGATGGTCTGAAGGGCCAACCCCACTGTCACGACCAGGAGGATGCTTTGCCTCGAGCCCAGTGAGGCACCAGGCCAGGCCAGTCAGAGGCTGGGACCAAACCCTATCACATCCAGATACGTGCTCATCTCGTGGACCAAAGGAAATCCAGGCTGGAACTGATGGTCTGAAGGGCCAACCCCACTGTCACGACCAGGAGGATGCTTTGCCTCGAGCCCAGTGAGGCACCAAGCCGGGCCAGTCGGAGGCTGGGACCAAACCCCATCACATCCAGACGGTGCTGGGCTCCCTCAGCCCCTCTGTCACCCCAGAGGGGGGTCTGTGAGACCCCTTGGAGATGACAGCGTGCCTTCAGAGCTTCACAGGCAGAGCAGGGGCACCCGGGGCTGAAGGAAGGGATGGGCTAAGGAAGCCTTTGCACTTGAGGCCAAATAGAGAAGCCCCGTGTTAAAATAACGGAGGAATTTTAGTCCCTGCCCAAATGCTGCAGCCTTCCTTCTCCACACGAGCCTCCCGTGTGCTGATCTGCAGGCTCTGAACCACCTTTGAATCCATCTGCTTGGAGGCTTGCTCTCTTAAGGATGCCTGACCCTCTAAACCCTCCTCCGAGCTGGTGGGCTGGCACCGGGACCTCTGCAGCATCTCTCCCGAGAGTCCGTGGCCAGAGCTGCCCTTGCCTCAGCCCTCTTGAAGGAAAGAGAGGAGAAGAGCCCTCCCAAACCCCAGGGGTGAAGCAGAGCCCCTCGCTCTCCCCATCTCCGCTTCTTGCCTTCACGCTGCTTCAAGCCAAGATGCTGCCAGACACAGCCTGCATCCCTCCACCCTCTGTTGGTACCACGGCTTTGCAGGAGCCCAGATGAGTTGTTCTCCGTGATGGGTGGCTTTCATCCTGGTGCAAAGTCCTTCACCAGCCCCACCATCTCCAGCCCAGCCCGGTGAAACCCAGGCAATTGCCAGGAGCTTCGTTACCCGCCCTAATTTGTAGCAGACCAAGGGCAGTGGAGGCACCAGGGGGACTGTGACTTGCAGAAGCTGATGGGAAGAAGAGGAGGAGAAGCTGAGAGTGGATATTTTTCAGCCAAAAGCTCACTCATTACTAGAAGTCAGTGGTGTTCCCAGGGAGAAATACAAGTTCCAGAGCTGAGAGTGGATATTTTTCAGCCAAAAGCTTGCTCATTACTAGAAGTCAGTGGTGTTCAGGGAGAAATACAGGTTCCAGATTTTGGTTTTTGAGAAGCTGATGGGAAGAAGAGGAGGAGAAGCTGAGAGTGGATATTTTTCAGCCAAAAGCTCACTCATTACTAGAAGTCAGTGGTGTTCCCAGGGAGAAATACAAGTTCCAGATTTTGGTTTGGTTTTTTTTATTATTTTTTTTATTAATCTTTTATTTTCTGCTGGAGGAAGGCCCCGGTTCCGGTTTTGTCTGAGGACAAACCACAGGAAATGCAGCTGATTCACAGGCAGAGGGGTTTTGGCTCCTCCGCTGAGGAGGGATGGGTAAGAAGGGAAGTGTGAGTGTAAGAGCTGCAAACTGTCAAGCTGCAGGGAGCTGGGAAACTGGGGAAATGTGGGAACATGAGAAAGGGTGTTTCCTTCTGAGACAATTATTTTGGTTTGGTTTTTTTTATTATTTTTTTTATTAATCTTTTATTTTCTGCTGGAGGAAGGCCCCGGTTCCGGTTTTGTCTGAGGACAAACCACAGGAAATGCAGCTGATTCACAGGCAGAGGGGTTTTGGCTCCTCCGCTGAGGAGAGATGGGTAAGAAGGGAAGTGTGAGTGTAAGAGCTGCAAACTGTCAAGCTGCAGGGAGCTGGGAAACTGGGGAAATGTGGGAACATGAGAAAGGGTGTTTCCTTCTGAGACAATTATCTTTCCTTTGAAACCATCCCATGGGGGGGAAGCATCCCCTGCATTCCCTTCCAAAGTTTCATGAGGAGGAATATGCTTTCCACCAAATCGTTTTCCTTTTTTTCTGAGTAGAGCTAGTGGAGATAGGGACTATTTTAGCTCTCGAGCAAAACCTACCTCTTGTTTTCTGCCTTTCTCCAGCTCCCTGCCCACCACGACCCCCTCTGGTCCCCCTGACTTCACCAGAGCAGGGTTTATTCCCGGGGCACGTGCATCTCAGCCCTGCTGGGGTTACTAGTGAGTTGATTCCTCATCCCTTGGCTCTCCCAAAAGACGCAGGTTGACTCCCAGGGGCCACCCAGTGCTCTGTTAACCTGGAGCTATTGGCAAAATCCACCACGACCCCCTCTGGTCCCCCTGACTTTACCAGAGCAGGGTTTATTCCTGGGGCACGTGCATCTCAGTCCTGCTGGGGTTACTAGTGAGTTGGTTCCTCATCCCTTGGCTCTCCTGAAAGACCCAGGTTGACTCCCAGGGGCCACCCAGTCCTCTGTTAACCTGGAGCCATTGGCAAAACGAGTGTCCCTTCCTCTTTGGGGGCTCCTTGAGCCAAGGGGCTCCTTGTTCTGGATTCAGGGGTGAGCGCACGCCGTCGGAGCGGCCCTTCCTACATCCCCTTGGCTTTCAGAGAAGGAAAAGAGGATGAAGTGGGTGAGCCCAGTTTGGAGCCTGACGCTGCTCTTGCTTCTCCAACCCTGACCCATGTCGTGTGTGGCATCCGAGGATGCTTCAGGATGGTCCATGCTGGGCCACGAAGGGGGTGAGTCTCCTTAAACCTGCCACTTGGGACCCCGGAATCCGTGGGGACACTCCATCTCTGCCCTGTGCCCTGCACAAGGAGCTGGGTGCCCTCACCCATAGACCTCCCACTCTCTGCTGAGACATCGAGCTCTCCACCCAGCCCCAGATGCATTGGCCCCCCCTGGACACCCCCAGGATGGGCTTTCCTGCAGGATCCAGTCCATGGCAGCTCCACGGATCAAGTGCCTACGGAGGGAATCGCACGCCGTGGAGCCCACCCGAAACATGTTGCCTTTCGCTCCCTCCCCCTGACATGTAGCAGCCTTGCCGTGTTTTCAGCAGGTTTTCTGGTTTGTGGTTTTTTTTGTGTGTCTGGGGGGGCAGGCGGGAGGGAAACCAGCGCCAGGAACCACGAGCATCCCTCGGTGTCACCTCTGCGGGGGTCCCCAGCGCGGCGATGCTCGGGGGTGCTGCGCGTTTGCCATCCGGCTGCCTCGGTGCAGTCGTGTTCTCTGTTGCAGAAAGTGGTGTTTTGTCCCAGTAAATCACAGCCTGCTTGACTGGCCCGGTGTGAATCCTTTGTTTTGGGGTGGGTTTCCCGGGGCTGTGCCTGCCCTCTTACCCCAGGGGCTGGGCTAGGGCTTTGCGTGGGCTGCCCCCAAAAAAATCCCATCCTACTTTTGTGCATGAGTTAAGAGCTGGATTTCAGAGGGGAAGGAGCTTCCATCAGGGTCTGGGGAGCTGTGTTTTTGCAAACAATTGCTCAGCACTTTGTAAAGGGATGGGTACAGGGTTTTAAAAACCAGGGGCAGCTGGGTTTAGCTCTTCTGTGAGGCAGAGAAGAGGAGCAGAGAAATCCTGCTGCCATCTCTCTCTCTAGTATCGGGGCTTTCAGCGTTTACCCCGTCACCCAGGCCAGGGGAAGGATGCTGAAATCCTTCTGCCTTCAGCCTACACCGTCCTTAATGAGTGTTATTATTACAGGCATTAATAAAGCAGCCATCACGTTTTCCAGCCCAAAGCAGGAGGTAGGATTCATGCTGTCCCTTATTTTCCTTTTGGCAAGCGAGGATTTGCTCCGATGCCCTCCTGCTTTTGGCAACCTATGTATATATCCATATATTTAAAAAAATAGACAGTTATGGCCCAATTTACCCCCTCTGGACCAGAGCAGAAGAGCTGGCTGTTTCCATCTCATCCCCCCCACTTCTGCCAGCCCCCTGTCTGTGCCCTCCGGGGAAGGGCACTGGGGTGGGAGTTGGTGGTTGCTTTCTAATCCTATTTCCCTTCCCAAATTCTTCATTTTCTGCCCTGCCTCAGCACTGCCCATCTTTGCTGCACCCTTGAGTGGATGGAAAACGCTCCTTTCTCCATCATCTCACTCCGGATGGAGCCGAGGGACCCGCCGTGTGCTAAAAACGTGCCCGGCCTGCTGTGCTGCAGCAACTCTTGATTTATTAGCTGCCCTTCAGTCGGCTAATTGGGCCGCTAATGAGAGCAGGGCTGGCTTCTAGGAGAGGCTGGGATCTGCCATCTTCTCCAGGGATGGAGTGGGTCTCCCCAGGAGTGGGGATGGGTCTCTCCAGCTGCAGCACCTCCGGAGGGTCCCCCTCAGCATCCCCCTTTTGCATCCAAGGGGATTTTCACCCGGTTAAGTTGTTGTCTTAAGGAAGGGTGCTCCGATGCTGTTGCCAGGGTGACTGCAAGTGCCTTATTAAAAGAAATTAGTTTGGATACAGTTGTCAGCCGCAGCTTAATAAATAAACCCCCTTTATGCTGTGTAAATAAATATTTGCACACAGCGTTCCTGCGGGGAGGGAGAGGTTTCCCAGATGCGGGTGGCATCATGCTGCCATCGGCGCCGAGGGGCGTTTTGGGGAGAGAATGGGCCAAATTGTGATAGCTCTGGTGCCAAACTGCACCCTTGGGGCTGCAGGTGTGGGTCCTGGGGGGGGGTTACGATGGATGGTGGGACCCCCCCCCTTGGCTGCACATCCCCCCTGCTCTGACCCATCAGGGAGATTTTGCTGCCAAACATCTCTCCTGCCGAGGCCACGGCTCCTCCTCCGCAGGGGCTCGTTAGCCAGCAACCGACGGAGCCTTTCCTCACTTTGAAGGGTTATGAAACCTGCAGGAGAGGAGGAGGAGGAAGACGGGAGAGCTTAAAAAAGAGCCGGGGTGTGTGTGTGTGTGTGTGTGTGTGTGTGTCCCCACTCCATAACCCAGCCATCGCCTGCCGAAAAGGGCTGGCAACGTGCCGGCAGCCGTTCAAGCACAGATTGCGCCTCTGCCCCCGTCCGCCCGCCAACCCGCCGCCGACGGTGGAGAACTTTGCTGGAAAATGAGCTTTTTAACAGCTTTTTCCCCGCTCTGTGTGTCTGCCCCCACCGTTGGTGCCGAGGAGAGCGGGGAGCAGAGGCCGCAGCACCCCCCAAGAGCATCCACA